CACGTGATATACTTTTTGCTTGAAGGCATTTTTTGCTTTGCGTACTAACATCATGAGTTTTGTCCTGCAGATTTGTCGCTGTCAGCTCGGACTATATTAGTAAAAAGCCGTCGAACCTGACGTAAGGCTATGAATTGGCATGATCTTGTTTTATCGTCAATTGAGACTTTGTGTGATTTCATCTTTGTGCAGACACGTCGAAGCTGCAACTTTACCAATGGCGGCACTCACAGCACTGCAATCCTTCCGACATGGACAGCTCGGTGAGAACAAGAAAGTGTTGATTCTCGGTGGAGCTGGTGGCGTCGGATCTATGGCTATTCAAGTCGCCAAAGCTGTTTTCAAGGTGAATCAATTTGTTCGCGTTAAAGATTCAGTGTTCAGTCATAACATGTATCTGATGATTTGTAGCCACAAACGATTGCGACCACGGCAAGCACTCAAAAAGTGGAACGAATGCGCCTGCTTGGTGCAGATGTCGTGGTCGATTATAAGCACAATCGCTTTGAGACGGAGCTAAAAGACTATGATTTTGCTCTGGATACCACTGGCGAGGTATGAAAGTCAATTCCAGACAGCTTTTGTTTAAACAAGGCTCTGAAAATTACTCTATTTACAGGCAAAGCAGTGCTTAGAATGCGTCACACGCGGTGGATCCGTCATAACGATTGTGGCAACACCGAGTAGGAAATCCTTACCAAATAATGTCCAAGGTGTAGACGTCTCGCTTCTTATCGGCCTCGTCATGAACTGTCTGAGCTATTCAGTGTGTTCTCAAGCGCGTCGAGCTGAAATCTTGTACGACTTTATGTTTGTGTTGGCCAATGGCGACATGATGAACGAAGTTCGTGAGCTTGCTGAGCAACGTTCCATCACACCGGTGATTGACAAGGTTTTTCCATTTGAAAAGGCTAACATGGCGATGGAATACTTGGAGTCGGGGCGTGCGTTGGGAAAGGTTGTTGTGCAGCTTGTAGACACGACCAAGGCTATGTAGTGACCCGTTCGCGAAACGGCAGTATCCATGCATTTCTATTACTATGTATTTCATTTGGCCAAATCTTTACTTTCAATTTACTAAGCTCAATATATTAGTGAGGTGTACTGCCGTATCGTGGTGTTCGCTTCCGTGATCGCGCGCTGTATACTGCTCGAGGTGTGGTATGAGAAGCTAAAACAGCTTCTGTAGCATCAATTTTCTCAGTCTTGCGACGTTGAGATTGCAGAACGAGGCAAGTGCCACCAATGACGAGGGATGCTCCTATGAAGGTGAGACGTCCAGGCATGGTATCAACGCCCATGACAATACCCTGAGCTGTGGCTACGATGGGTTCCATTAAGCATACAATCGATATGACAATCGGATCAAAGTACTTCATCACACCTATGTAACCCATTGTGCCAATACAATCGCAAACTAGAACGAGGTAGAGCACCACCAGTAGTCGGTTTACGGAAGGAGTTAACCAGCCAAACACTCCATTGTACGGATCCATAGACAGGCTGAGTTTTTGACCGGAAATGAGCATGTAACACAGTAACGTTGTCGCTGACGTGGCTGTCAACCCACACAGAAACACTAACACATGCATGTGAGGACGCACTTTCTTGGCCAAAGAGAAATATAAAGCTCCTCCAGCAGCACCGGAAAGAGCTACAAGGTCTCCTATCACGGTCGCAGACACGATATTGGGGCCTCCAGAGGTCGCATCTAGTGTGGTAATACCGCCCCCAACGACTCCGATAGCTGCACCCAGAGCCTCAAACACAGCCACAGGCTTTCGCAACACTATCTTCCAGAACACGAGCAACATCGAGTGTGCGTTGTTAAATAGTGTGGCATGTCCAACGGATGTTAGTGAAAGAGCCACGACAAAGGAGCCTAGAAAGTATGCGTACGCGACACCGGCCAAGAGAATAAACGGAATTAACTCTTTCCAGCTTTGTCCGGTGGGCTCTTCATTTCCACGAAGGAGAATCATCACTGCGACAGGAAACGTAAACATCGACGTGGCCGTGTTTCGCCAAAATATGCGAAGCTCAGGCACCACAACATTGTCTAGCTCATCTAGTGCAACACCCACAGATGAGATCGTAAAAAGTGACGACAGGAGCAGCAGGTAGCCGATAATTGGAGCCTCGCGCTTTACCACAACAGTGACCTCTAAATCTTCCTCGAATCCGCGGGTGTTAAGATGAATTTGAGTTATATCCGAGGGCAAAATAGTTGCCTTATGCAAAGGTGTCAATGTGGCTCGGGGGGTGACCAGGTCCCCAGTGTAAGACTCTTCTTTTCCATAGTCTAGTTCGTGATTTCCAGGAACAGCCAGCAAGTATTCTGACGTACCCGAGCCAGGGGGAGATGCACCAGTTAGATCATCAGGAGACATTTCAATAAGGTACGCGTGGTGCTTTGAAGTCTTTCCTTCCATCGTTCTGGAAGTTTCGTCATCGGTAGGGAACGAGAGCACAAATGGTGACGAGTCGTCCTGATCAAATGCAGGTTCTACAAACGAATGTGTAGAAAACGGTGATCTCGCTGTACGGCTTGAGAACATTTTATTTGACCGTGTATTGTATGACAAGAGCGGTTGAGCTTCCGTATCATAACCGTCAGCTTCTCCGCTTAAATCGTCAATTGCACTTTGAGGAATGTCCGAATTGCCAACACTCACGACAAATCCCTCAAACAGCTTAGAGCTGTCCGTATTTCCAGCAACTCGAAGCGACATATCCGAAACAGGTGCTGACACTCCAATGACAACATTTTTCGTCATTGATGGATCCCCAATAGGTGTTGAAGCCAAAAAAACAGTCCAAGGAGACAACTTAGCCGTCCCGTCCGTATCTTGTGTGTAGGCCAATTGCTCCTCTGTCTCAATACTGAACCACGTTTCTCCAGCTGTCGAAAGATACATCAAACGGCTTGCACTGGAAGCACTTGTCTTGGTCATTGTAAAACTATTTAGTGCTTCAGCAAGCGAAAAGTAGCTTTGATGTTCAGCGAGAGTGCTTAAGGCATCGAAAATGTTTGGAGAGCTTAGGAAAAGTCCAGCATCAATACCATCGTAGACGTCTAAGTTTCGACCAATATGGGTTATCTGGTGATCATCTTTGTGAAGTTTTACTTTAACTGTAGTAGGTGGTAGACCCGTGAGGTCTGCAATATCCATTTCTACCAGTACACACGCAAAAGCATTATCAAGTGGATACGCCAATAACTTGGAAACGACCGATTTGTCAAAGATGTGATCAGCTGTATGGATTAAAAATGGTTCTGGACCAGGAAAGAAACTTCGTGCCGCAAGAATTGAGTGTGCATGACCATCGTCATTTGTACGTCCTAGATCCAAAAATTCAATTTTCATTTTGACAAAAAACGGTGTCTGCTTGACAGCGGCCATAATTTGGCCTCCAGCTGCAGCAACGGACACTACAACGCGTTCCACACCCGCAGCATAGAGTTGTGTTAGAATATGACTGATAATTGTCTGGTGGCCTAGCCGAATTAAACATTTTGGTCGCTGGTTCTCGTCGAGACAGCTTGGTCGAACTGCGGCAGTTAAAAGCACTTGACGCACAGCAGGACGACGCGACGTGGGGGTCACCACCAGTGCAGACGGGCATGCAGGAGGCAGTGGCGGTAATGCATGAGCGTGAAGAGAGGTAGAATAATCGTCAACATTCATAGTAACTTGGTTTGGACCATTAACTGCATCGTGACCCACAGTCTCGAAAGGTACATTCTCGCCGGCTTCGACAATGACACCTTGGATCTCGGAACGCGTAGGATCCAATTGGAATCCAGAGATCAACTCCGTTCTTGGAATATGCAGCAATTGGCTCACGCGCTGAAGATCTAGTGCGTAGACGGTTGTCGGGACCTCAGCCTCTACGTCCACAGGACGACGATGTACCACCATGATATACAGAAGTTAATGGAATATCCACAAGTTTCAAATTTCCAGAATTCGTACTTAAAGCAAAGTTCTGGAATTAAATAACAAAAACCGAGCGGCTAATCTTCTAGTTTTGTACCACCAAAAATCAGTGTAATCATGCAGTGTGGTTATATCTGCTGGGGTACGTGTAAGATAAAGTTAATGATTGCCGAGCGCAAAAATTACGAGTGATTTGTCGTAGACTTATTTCGTGAGTAATGATAATAAAACTATCATTACAAAGGTTAAAGATTAGTCATGGAATTCATCGATCTTGAAGATGAGTGCGCCAAAGCCAAACGATTCACTTCTCGCATCGTTTTGTCATTAAAGTCCATTGGGAGCAAATGAGTAATGACAACCGCTACATACTTCTACAGCGCTAATTCTAAGTACCTTTGTCAGCACTTACAATTGTTGCTCGCTCTGTGAAGATGTGAGGTCTTCACAACAGACTCAATATCCAGTCAAAGCATTAAATGTGCATTTAGAAACAGCGTGGTGCAATCTGAATTAACCCTGGATTGAAGAGGATGCATTAACTTCTTTTATGATGCGAATATCTTAGACCATCGCGAACTTTTGCTTTGTCGTACTTGGCTGTTGGCGGATACTCAAATGATGAGTAACATGTGACATGCTTTCTTAGTCCAAGATTTTTATTACACAAGTTTTTTAGTCTTGAGTGTATATTTATAGCACATGATTAATAATTCGAAGTGTTCATGACTACATCTGAGAAACACAAGCTTCTTTACTAATCAGCCGTTTAATCAACACTTTTTCACCCACATACATAATACCCATTTGCGACTAAATCATCAACAACTCAAGTTTGTCGATTCTCAGTAGATACACGTTAACACACACTATGACAATTTTTGTATTGTTGGTCTCGCGAATAAATTGTAAGAGAGCCGCGCCCAGAAATTGTGTCCGTAATCCATTACGTCAGATGCAAGAATGCAATAGTCCAATAGCTTCAGGGTAACCCTCCTCGCGATCGTATGATTGTACAGACACTACAATCCGAAATGCTGTCATAATTTGGCGAGTTTGTGTCGGCCAACCGTATTTGTCAGGAGGTCCTCAAGCACGAGTCTGAATTATACGTAGTGCCGCTTTAGGATGCCACTGCGCGTGAAGGCTTGGAGGTTTCGAGGTGCACACCCACAGCCTTTGCTCTTAGTGGCGACGCCTCGCCTTCAATCTGGCCAATAGGGGCTCAATTATCCTCATGCAAGGTACAAGAAGGAGCCGGAGTCAACCACTTCCGTTATTCTTTCTATTGCAGAGCACTTGTGGCTGCAGCGCTGGCATGAACTTCTATTGTAAGAGCGAAACGAGCCTATTTTTGCCATCCAGATTACAGATCTTTATTGTTTGGAACCATCGCTCCAGTAAATAAATTCATATCGCTCTTGTCTAAATCAAAATCAGCATCGCTGTAGGACTCAAGCATAGTCGTATCGCTACCGTTGACATTCCCATATGTCGAGTCACAGGCCTTTACTCTTTGTGAGGCATTGTGCATTTTATTTGCAAGCAATCAACATTATACTATATCTCATTTATTTTGGTGCACCGCAAAAAATTATGCGTTTAATACATCAAACCACCTACAGCATGTTTCCAACGAGAAAACTGAAATAAATTATTTGATGAAGACTAAGAATCTCATATAATTTGTTGGAAGAAATCTGCCTCATCCGATTATGTTGCAGCCATCATCACTAATTGGCGTGCAGATTGGATTTGCCGACTCCATCCCGTATGCTCACAGCAGCTCATTGATCTTCTCCTTTTAATCTTAATGCATTGAATTGTCTAGCCAGAGATTACACTAAAGCTCCAAGAAACTTTGACGGGCTCAATTTCTCAGTTGGTAGTGCTTCCAGTGCCGTGAGAAACCAATCGATGCACTTAGTTCGTGTGGCAAAACTAGGAGATCATTGACACCGACACCCATCACGACCATATTTCTTCCGTCGTGCGTGATGTACAGGCACAAGTCACTGAGGCACGCTCTAAGATCCTGCGTAAAACAGAGCTGACTCGGTAGTTGTCCTGCCCGTCTACAGCCGTACACATCCTGTTTCAGCTTGAGGTCTATTCAGCGGGGCTGTGTAGCTCTTTGCTTAGAGAAAGCCAAGCTAAAGTCACCGACCTTTTGTTCTTCAAGAAACCAATACGATTGTAGCGGATTGCAATCCGCTACCTCCAATAATTAAATCCTTAACCAAGGTAAAGACGCTCTCCAATTTCAGAATTAAACTTGTATTTAACTGTTTTAGTTGCGGCAGCGCCGCCAATATCCAGAACCTTAGGTTTTCCCGATTAATATAGTAATACCAATCAATATAGTAAAACCTAATTAATATGGTAAAACTTAATTAATATGCATTATTGCTTGCAGTCCTGCCACGATATGGCTTCTTGTTACGGTTTAGCCACACCATTGTGTGATTTCACCAGCTTGTGTAATCCACACCTACATATGATCTTACACCATGTGTAACATCGTTAAACTCTCTCCCATCAAAATTGCAAATACCCACAGTTCACATTTAATTGTCGCCTTATACGACCACTACGTCCATAGGACCATCTTAAAACATTCTTCGTTCGATGAGCCTTGTGTCTATGACCCAGCCTGCTGGTTCCGAAAGCGCCCACCTCTCTTCGTCTTTTGCACGGGGTGCATCTCCGGACAGTACGTTCGCGGCTTCACGGGAAGCACATCCCAAGCCCTCGGCAACCGGGCGTCACACAACGCGCCCGCCCCGGGCGACGGATTTTCTCGTCGAGGATTCGGGGGAAGCCGACAACGAGTCGTGAGCAGGTTTCAGTGGGTTGCGTGTGACTCTATTTTCAGCCCGCGATCCATGCTCGGGACTCTTGTTCAATTCACCTTCGGTGTTCGACAACTCGAGTACTCCGATATCCAGCACATTGACTGTCCCGGTCCAGTGCCCGCGCAAATAGCGCCTCTGCTCCTAGTAGAGGTGGGTTCCTGACTCACCAAAGCTCCACAAGGAGACGTGCGCGTAGCGCCCAAGGTCTTTAGCCTCCAATCAATCCATGGCTCATGGTGTTCCAACCATGCCACACCAAGGATAAGATCATACCTTGAATCCAACTCTAAGACTGCTATCGAAGTCATGGAACTTGACACCGAGGTCCACAGGGACCCTCGGAACAATGACACAAGTCTTCATCGCTACGCGAACAGTGACGATGTCACTCAGCCGCGCTTCCAGCGCCTCAGCATGCAGCTGACTTCCTTCGATCGAGAAGCGTCGAGCTTAATTGTTTGACGCTTCGGAATTGATCAGGATCTTCTATGGCTTCTCAAAACCCTTCACGGTCACTTTTACGACCAGCAAGCCCGGCTTACATACACGTTCCGTGTTCAAGATTTAAGGCTCAACATAACTCATTTGTCCCTTAGCAGGGCACCCCACGCCTACTATCTTTTGTCGTTTCCCAGCGACAAACCAGACTGGTTAGAAGCGGGACGTCGGTTTGATAAAGCTTTACACGCCTTGCGGAGGGGACAACCAGTCCAAAGGTGACATGTGTCTCCACAGACAAAACACCGTCGTGTGTTTAAACTTTGCTCGACAGCTAAGAGCTTTACCTCCTCTTTCTAAGCAAATCTAAAGTCCATTGGCTCAGGCCCGCTTGACGGGCTCTGAAGGTGTGCATTCCAACCAAGTCGTGCCGACTTAAAGCTAAATTCGACATTCAATGCTACGTCCACCGCTTCATAAAAGATGACGGATGCACACGGATGACTTCCATTCTGGCCAAGTCAGTCCCGACGCCCTCCATAAACACGGTCATTGCGACTGCCTCGGGGAAAGGATCGGTTGTCATTCCGGCAATGAGGGCTCCCAACTCTTGGACAAAGCACACCAACTCCTCCTTGCCCTATCGCGTGGCAAGGAAAGGCGATCGTATGCGATTTGCCTGGAAAGGCGGCGAGAACACTCACAGAAGCTGACGCTTAAGCTCCTTCCAGGATAGGGACGCCGCTTTAACCGAAGAACCGCACGTTTAGTGCCCATTATTGCGCCCGACCCCCGAGCTTGGAGATAGCTAGCGCCACGTGTTGTTGCTCGTTCTGGAGCATGGCGGATGCCATAGCCATCTCGGTCTCTCTTACCCAGAGCAGAATATTTTCTCTATCCTTACGCTTGAAGGTCTTAATGCTCACCATGAGCGACCTGGGTTGGGAAGAGTCATTCGCCGTCGACGATGGCGTCATGGACGCTGTCGACGCTGACAGCTTCTGATGTGGGTGCTCCAACAAAGCATTTTCATAATTTGATAAATGCCTCCAGGCGCGCGCTTACTCACTCAGGCCCTTGCAAAAAAGGCAATCCACGCCCTCAGGACCAGGCAGAGACATCAGCTTATTAAGTCCGTCCTGCATGCCCTGAAAAAAAAGAGTATTGCTCCATCCTCACAGAGGATCAGTCGTAACGACTCAGGCGTAGATTGACTACGAGTGCTACCAAGTGCAGCGGGGCTTCCGTAGCTCTTTGCTCAGAGAAAGCCAAGCTAATGTCACCGACCTTTGGTTCTTTGAAGGATTAGTACGAGTGTAGCGGACTGCAATCCGCTACCTCCAAGAAAACTTAAAATCGTAACTAAGGTAAAGACACTCTCCAATTTCAGTATTGAAACTGTATCTAACTGTTTTAGTTGCGGCAGAGCCACCAATATCTAAAACCTTAGCTTTTCCTGATTAATATATACTCGATATAGTAGAACCTAATTAATATGGTAAAATATAACTAATATGCATTACTGCTTGCAGTCCTGCCCCGTAGTGGCTTCTTGTTACGGTGTAGCCACACCATTGTGTAATTACACCAACTTGAGCAATCCACACGTATGTACGGTCACACCATCTTGTGTGACCCGCCCTTTCATACAAGTGAACGTGTAACCCTGTTACAGTCTACGTCACCAGTGTTGGACACCAAGCGCTTTGATCTGCTTATCGGTAATCTGCATGCTGCTTGGTGCGTTCGGCAAACTCTCATGATGCCCTTTTTGGCATCTATTTCATAGGTAGTCGGATTGTCGCCTTGTACTGCAGGTACTTCCCATATAACCACAAGTTGCGAAAACATCTCTAAAGTTGACACATCCATACTGCGGCAAAAATTTAGCAAGTAGTCGACACATCAAACTTGCCTTCCTGAACATGTTACACAAGACGCCTCTTGACCGCTCCATTTGCATCCGAATTTATCTGGACCACCCAGCTCTGTTAAGCAAGTTTGTGAAGCTGGTCACATGATTGCGTTTCATACTTTTTTCTTCAAGCATCTACTTTTTTCCAGCATCGTCTGCTTCAATCATTAGTCACCGAATCACTCAGATTAATCCGGTTTGTAGATTAGATTTGAAGCGCAGTAGCTGCAGCATTTGTCGTGGTCATTGTATCTTGCATCTCACTCCACGTGCGGGACAAAGGGCACGCGACCGTCGACAGTGCAACACAAATTGTGTCCGACTCTATCACTATACGTTTAATATATCCGATGCGCAACGTCGCGCCAGCGTGACAAAACATATAGATTCCTGGAGGTAAACAACCCCCCGCCACCAAATTTTGCCTGCACGACGTATGTTCTAATTAACGGTATACCCGGCAACGAAAAATAAGTTGGGTAATTACGCCACTGTGCACGGTAATGTGTAATATATGTAATTCAAGAGAGGTGCCAGCAGCCGCGGTAATTCCAGCTCCAATAGCGCATACTAAAGCTGCTGCAATCAGAAAGATTGTAGTTCAATTTCTCTTCTGGATGTCCGGTCTGTTTTCTTTGAAGTGTGTACTTATGGATGTTTGATGCATTATTTGTGATGCTGCATTTCTGTACAAATATATATTCGAGCAGAGCACAGTGGGCCAGGAAAATAACGAGTATAAATATACGTCATATAATATTATATATACGGCGTAAAGCAAAGCAGGTGTACCCTGAATTTGACAAGAGCATACATCATAGCACCTGCCTCATTAATGTGAGCTGCATAACTTGCTCACCACTTAATTGTCGATACTCAATTGCAGTCACGCGTTCATGTCCTTTCGCATCTACTTGGAGTTCGGAACAGCCTATGAAAACTATCGAAGCGTCACATCAAGGTGAAACGGAGATTATGTACTCAAAATGGATACCATAAGAGCACCAATAAGGCTCTATTTAATTGCCTTAACGTTCACCTCTTCTGCCACGTCCAGCATCATTAAATTTTCTTGGTATACCAATTCGTGAGATGCCGTGTCGTTCATATAATCGGCATAAAAAATCGTGCAACTTACTGGCCAAGCCGCA